TCCTCTCTCCTCAGCGATGCTGGAGGCCTCGAGGACCTCGATAATCTGCCGGAGAAGATTCACGAGTGGACTAAAATGAAGGCATTCAATTCATATACAATCACACGAGAATGAGGACTCACGCAAAATCGCTGCTTGCATTGTTATCATCGAAATCCATGAGGAACTTCGAGCTCAATAGTATTGGTGTGGTAGGGGTGAATGGGTTGGAAGAAAACTGAGAGATGCTATAGCGCTAGAAGTATTCGCGCATTAATAACATGTGGCAACGTTGTAAACGCCAGGTTTCTAGCGGTTCATGTTCAAGAGGCCGAGACCCGGATTGTGACACAAACATGAGTTGGATTACATATCACTCGCCCTATGTAGTACTTACTAGCAGAACGCCAAGTTAAACCTTCCCTGCCGGCAATATGTCCAACCTTGGTAGGCAGTTTGTCTCTTTGCCGTTTTCTCCCTTTACCTTGTGACAGACTGCAGGATTCATATCATGATGATGACGCAGTACTTGGTGAACAGCAGTAAGCAAGATGGGAGCACGTTCGTGATAGTCCGACATGTCCTATCTTATGTAATTGACTGGAACATTCTACGGATTTGGTACAATACTATGGGTTACGGTTCATTCGTTACGGTCCGCTATTTCGTGAGTCACCCTCATGTCACGAATAGTAACGGACAATCACACTGGCTGAATTTACAGTCCGCTCGGCATATGAGATTCGTGAATTTCAACGATAATTGATTAGGACTCAGAGGCTACTTAGTAGTAAATATGTGAGCTACAGTATGTACGGAGAGCTAAATGCAAGTTATTAACGATGTATAAAATTTTGCTGAGGGAATGTATGAAGATCATGTGCCAGTGGGTATTGATACATAGATGGATTGTGAACTTGAAGTTCGTGACTTGGCGCGCATGAAACGCACTATTAAATTTAATGTCCGACATCGGCAGCCACGGCAGGTGACACTGAATCGTGATTTTTGCTGCTGTTACGCTGAAAACACAATCTACCATTTCTCAACATATTTGTTTTATTTCACCTGGGATATGATAGTATAGTATATAGAATGTACCCAGTGAAGTAGCTAAGTAATTACTTCACAATTGAGCGCTGTAGACGAAAATCACGAAATAGTGGACCGTAACGAATGAACCGTAACCCATAGTACCTGTTTACCATCTTACATTTCTTTCGTCTTAATGGGCTCGCTCTCGCAAAAGTGTTTAGGGGTGCATTAAGATTTCATTCACTATGTTTACATACACTCATCCTGTTGCTACTGTACTACCTAAAATTGCTTCTCCGAGGATCACTTGAAAGTGCGCAAATGAGAACTTGATGGAAAGGATGGTTGGGCGTCGATTACTGTTTAGAGGTTCGTTCCTGTAATACCACATGTTAGGATACATAGAAGCGTAAAATGAGGCCAATCGCTGTCGCACACATTGATATGAACAGACTCACCGACATGATGGTTCGCGGTGCTTGCATCAGAACAATTATGGTTTGTAAAGGTTAGTGGGGTGGCAGCGCGTCGTGATCGAGTTGGCTTGATAAGGGGTACAACGGGATAGCAGGGTGGATGATATATTCAATTGAGGCGAGGGCACGCTCTAAATCGCATATAGACGATAAGGAAAACCGCAACGGGAGCGACTCGTCCCTATAATGTAAACTATACTTATTACTGGGAGGGCATTATCAGCCTCTATGCAATTAGAAGCGACAGCGAAAGACTACTTACGTAGGTACGTTGTCCTACTGCACAACGTCACTGCGAGTAAACAGGATATAGGGAGGTGCCAAGTCATTCACTGAGGCCCAAAGATTCTCGCGTCGTTGACCATCACTAATTAATAGGGAACGCCGCCTGTGTTTGCAAGAGAGAGATCCTGACCAGTGCTGGCAGTTGGTGAGCCGTGAGCCCACGAGGCAGGAACATCCCGGCTTATGCGCATTAATATTCAGAGCCTTCTTTGGGCTAGAAGTCTTTTTGGAAGATGAAGCTAGAATTTTGTGAATCGATCAGTTGAAACACCTATACGAGTGGTAGCAATATTGAGAACACACCATGATGGTATCGGACTGAATGGATGTTCAACGTTGAATATTGATGTCTGAATCCACATTGCTCGACGATAACGATGGGAATGATGGAAGGAGGACCTCGTGTACGTCGAAGTGATTTCGCTTGTAGAAAATAAGCCTGTGTCTCAAGAGCATACGACGTCAGTTGTGAAAATGGAAGAATGCGCACGTGTAAACAGCGCACTGAACTAAATGCGAACGTAAAGGAAATGAGTTCGGGAAAGGTTAAAGCAAGAGGTCTTGAAAATTAGCATGTATTATGTAGGAGGGGATTCAAGACCATGGGTAACGACACACCTATCGCTTTCATCCGAACTGCTGTTCTGAATAGAGACTGAATCTATTATTAGACTGGCGCATATTGTTTCTAGACCACGTCTTTACTCCGCACGGCCGCCCTCTACTTGAATGAACCAGGTATGACAGGGTTATTGGTCTGAATGGCGGCCACATATGAAAGGATTGTACCAAGGTCCGTCCTTTCTATATTTTTAACTCGATATGCGGGGAAGATCAGGTGCGTGCTTCTCCACATTTGACCACGCGAGGATATGGCTAGATACCCCAGCTTCTGCCGTAGTCATGCGTGTTCCCTCGGCGGCCTGATGGAATGGGCGTTGTGATTTCATTTCTGCCTCCAACTTTGGTATAATGCTTGCGGTTGCATGATGTCACGCGACGTCATTTAGAATGCTCTATAAGGCGTGGTTTATCAAACCTCGCTTTCTACTAAGCTGACTGTAACAATGAACACACTCTTTGGTACGCTTTCTCGTACAGCTGCTCTTCGTCGTGCCCCGCTCGCCCTTCGCCGTTCATCACAGTTTCAAACCTCTTTCCAATTCACGGCTCGTCCAGCAGCCGTAAACCTTGCACAAGTCCACGCGCGCTTCGCAGCAAGCTCGGTCGCGGGCAGACCAGGAAGCCAGACTATCGAGCACGCCAAGCAGAATGTGAAAGAGGAAGTCGGGAACTCAATGACCGACTGGGCCCGCTCCATCGCTGGTGGCGTGTTCACAGTAGATAGCGTCAAACCATCAAAAGACTCTTTCGTACGTCGCTCTTTGTACATCAGGTCGTTCCTCTCATTAACCAAAGCATCCAATTTAGTTCGGTATCACCACCGCAGTCGCCCACTCTGTACCAACCCCCTATCTCGTCATGGGCCTCACTGGTGGCATCCCATACATCGCCTCATCTGCCACTACCGTATATCTTGCGCACCAAGCAGGTCTCGCCACAATGGGTGTTCTCACAAATATGGACCCTGGCGTTGCCCTTAACATCTTAGACCAAGCCCTCAACTTCCAAGTCCACTATGGCGCAGTCCTTCTGTCCTTCCTTGGCACGTGTTTCCACTTCTACTTCTATAGTTTGACTCATGTTATATTTAGGTGCAATACACTGGGGCATGGAATTCAGTGGTCTGGGCGGCTATAAAGGTTACCCTCGTCTGTTACTCGGTATCTCTCCTGCGGTATTGGCCTGGTCCACTATCACTCTCCAACCTACTTTCGCCCTCCTTTGGCAGTGGCTTGGATTCACCGCATTGTGGTATGCCGATAATAAAGTCACAGCTGCCGGTTGGAGTGAGTCTCCTTGTTCCAGGGTCGTGGTTCCCTTCTAACTGTGCCTTCTTCTCAGCACCAAAATGGTATTCCCAATACCGCTTCTACCTTTCTATCCTCGTTGGCACGTGCATCATCGGCTCCCTTGCAGGAATCTCCTATTATGGTCCTGTAGCCGGACACGGTCTTGTCTCCCACGACCTGAACATGATTCGCGCTGAGCGGTCAGTGTCTCATCTTGTTTCACTTCCTGACAGCTTCTCACGCCTTTGCAGCAAACTTATCGAGCCTGAGCGTGTGGGCCACGTCGGTGGGGACATCGAAGCTATTTCGGGTGACGAATCAGGCGACACATATGTTGTCATCCGCCGGAAGAACAAGAACGGAAATGCCGACAATGGACCCGACGGAGAGGCACAGGCTCAACAGTGAGGGAGGACTTACCGAAAAGCGACGTCACAGAGCTGGACGTTTGGGAAATAATCATTACCATCGCTTGTACTTGTCAGCTGTATATCTGTAAGTGTATCATACCTCTCGTTGTACTATCACTTCAAGACAAAGGTTTCCTCTATATTTGATCTTGATGAGCGTACTTGTTGAAGACAGCCAATGAGATGAAAAGTCGGGCCCTTGGTGGCACTGCTACCGATACGAAATGGGATTCCAAGGGGTCTCAACCAAGTTTAAAGTCTCAACTCGCTATCATGAACCAGGATATGAGACCCGAGTTTCTGTTTCTCACCGATCTCCATGCTTACATTCCGTCCTTTCTTCCTTATCAAGATATCCTTCGGTGTACATCCGTAATTACCTTTACTTGCTGATCCCCCTATGTACTGACAAGTTACAACTGTCTTGCAGTATGTAGAGACCTTCACCAGACGTACCTGTCGTCTTCCAAACTCCAATATATTGTTGAACTCGGTGGTCAACAATTGCTTCCTGTCGATCTCCCTCTCGACAACCACACTCCTACTATCTCAGAGCGTTTACAACTCCTGAGGGACAGAGCTCATGCATGGTTCAAGTTGAACACCCAACCTGTCGAACACGTCGATGTCTCAAACAAGTACATCATGAAACTTACAGCCATGTCAAATGGGTATTTCTGCCTCATGGACGACCCGACTCTGCATCGTAATGACTTTCTACGGGGTTAGACCATCTCCAAGATCTTTCCAATACTGCAAGAGCCCTCACAGCAAGTGTTTGATCGTGTATGGCATTCAGACACACTGTCCTCAGTTCCCAATGCACATCTAAATGATATTCTCATGGACCCGACACAAAATCTGCTCGCTGCCGCATACCACGTTCTTGATAGGCCGGATGTCTATATTGACCTTTTACCTTTGGATGGAGATCGTGCTCACCCCCAAGCTGTTGGACCTACGCTGTTTATGTTACCAGACCTGCGTGGACCCCAGAACATTCTCCCGAAAACTAAGCGTTGGAGGGTTGGCAATCTGGGAAGGCTTATGGCTCTCTCGCACTCCCTGAGACTCAATGATCCAGACAGGATCCTGTGGTGGTTGCAGATTTGGGACTGGCAACACTCGACAATGTCAAATGTGAGCAAGCCTTGTCGTTTGAAAGACTGGATGACTGATGGATTGTTTAGAGTGTTCTCAGCGGTGCTGTGTCTGGAAGCCAAATCTCAATCGGTTACTGTTTCCTCCAGTAGATTGCTTATGATTGTCGGCATCAATTTGAAGGTCTATTCCATTGAAGATATGTCTCAGGCGCCACAATTGCTCGCCTGCTTCTTGTTGCCTGCACCTGTACGTGGTGCACACTTCGTCTCCGACGACCCAAAGGACGATGGTGCACAAAGTAGGCCGCAGCCAGGGATGCCACAAAAAATGTGGAAATCAGATCCAACCCATCGAATCATATCCCTGAACATGCCGCCTTCCCTCCATTTTATCATTTCTAGCAGGATTTTCTTCGAGCCCGACTTCATCAAAGGGGGGTCGACGGAAATACCTTGGGAACGTTGGGGCCCTTTGAATACTCGTATTTTCCAGCACTGTGAGGATGTTTTTGATTCCGTTGCTGGGAGTCGAGTCTTGAAGGTGGAACGTGCGATTGACGCAAACGGTAATGATCCCTTGGAGTACAGTTTGCGTGTGATGGACTTTAGCCCGTTAGCTATCAAGTATGGGCGGGCCCTAGGACGGTTGGTGAGAGAGCCATCTACGATAGACTTGGATGGACGGTCGTTAACGACGTCCCTGCCTTATGTGGAGGTCGTGTCGAGCAAGATATCCAGTTGTATAGATGAGCTGCTGTTGTCATCGATTGATGAAAACAGGATCTATGCATTCCACATCGAGGATCGCTTTGTAGGCTCTTCCCTGTCTCAAGGAAATCTGATCTGATTTTAAACCTACAGGCCAAGGTGATTAAGCTTTGGGAAGGGGTTGAAGCGTGCTCTATTCAGGGCAATACATGAGTTCTATATGTAGCAGGAGTAAACTGTTGATGTCGAGGATGCAATTGAACAGAAGTAGGCAGAACGAAGGAGAGGAATCCAGTGTGAATGAGAAGCTGTACATTGAGTGCTCAGAAGACGCGTGAAACACTTGGCGAGGATCGTGAAGCATCGTATATCCAGAGCCTGTTTAGCACACGGTAGGGGGGAGAGGACTGTCAGTTTCAGCCAGCGCACTGGTGCTTGGAGCCTGAAAGGTGACTTCTGTGATGATGAACGTCTGCGTTGGTAGCACGCTATTGCATGAGGCACCAGGGGCATCCGAGACCCCAGTGGTAGAAGTATGGGCTTGCTGGCGATGAGGACGTGGTAGCCGCGCCAAATGCCCTTTCCCGCTGATGGCATCAGCGCTATGCTATATGTAAATATTATCCGAGTCAATGGTAGATGGATTTGGAGAGTTAGAGACCGATCATATTTCCCTCATGGTACGGAGACGACCAGTACGGGAGTTGTGTGTGGGTGGTTGGGTACTATGGCTCTAAGGTGAGAAAAAAGATGGTTGACCATGTTCTTTGTCATGGGATGTAGTGGTAGCGGTCACTGCGGTTGTTGTGTCAAGGTGGGAATGTGTGTTGAACTGGTCAGAGGTGCATCGAATCTGCTGCGACATGAAGACTTACATTGTCGAAGAACCCATGGAGAGTCCAGCGAGTTGTAGTCGAGGCTTTGGGCCTGGAATGGTCTATTGGAGGTAATTGCAAGATGACTGTGATTCTGTGAAAGCTTTACGTGACATGCAGTCAGCGTGAGAACAGGGCCAGGTGAAATTGACGCGGCCCTGCCGCGCCTGCCGCAGTCGTGACGCGCCTGTGACGCGGCATATGTGACGCGGCACTGTAACAAATTCCTATGTACAAATCATGTTTACACAACTTCATATCGCATTCCAAACACTTTGAATCATCGTTAATGATCAACATATGAGTGTCTGCCTGCGTACTATGACGCTATATCTGCACATTTATTATTTGCGCATTCCGCGGCTTGCGCGCTGCGCGTTTTCGTCAATCCAGAGTGGGCGTGTTTTAATCAAGAGGTTCCGCATTCCCGCACTGCGCGTTTGCTTGTTCAAGTCTCTACTAACCGAGTCATTCAAGTTGTGCGGAGCTAACTTAGCGGCTCACGCAGTATTATAGTTTTTCTTCTTCAAATACATACTGTTTTGATGGACTGTCATATCCTGTATTCCGGACCTACATCCGATAATATTCCCACGCCTCATCCAGACCTTCGGATGTGCTATCCATGTCTCCAGTACCCATCCGGATCCCTGCACCTCTGCACATCCACATCTGCATGTCCACGTCCAGATCCCTTATCCTTCGCAGCTAGCCTGCATCATTCATCCTTGTCCCATCGCCCTAATGCCACATCCTATATATCCACGCATCTCATCCGGACCATATCCGATCCGGTCCGATCTGATGTATAGATCCGCTTCTGATCCGATATACGATAAGCTTCATAATTCATTTCCTGTGCATATAACGTTAACACAGCCTATCCGGTATTCCTTGTTACCGGTACCTTGGTTATATCTATTACCGGTATGCTTACTGATCCGTTAACCTATGTTCATTTCCGACTCACGTTTGTCAACCTTTGCATATGCTTCATACATAGCCTCGGACTCTGCTTATTGATCCTTCCATTATTTCTCTTAGTATATAAACTCGTGTATATGTCTTGTAGTACCTCAGTCTGAATATCATATTAGTCCTCGCACTAGTCTTCACTCTAAGTCCTCATATCAGTTCTAGTCTTCCAACTTAGTTGTTATCCATCTCAGGCCTAGGGAGTTTCTCCCTAGGCCGGAGCTCTGCTTATCCGATACTCCGCTCATCCGCTCATCCGATCCTCTGTAGTTTCCGGAAGTTCATCCGGATCTTTCCCACGGTCCTCCGGACCTATTCTGCTTCGGACTTTGTCCTTGCAGCCCTTCCTCTGTTTACTTCTACTCAGGACAAGTCCCGAGTAGCCATTATACATATCCGTATCAGGACGAAACCTCATCATAATTTCCGGAAGTTCCTCCGGAACTTTCCCGCACTCATCCGGAAGTTACTTGCACCCGTCCGGAAAGTCCTTCCGAAGTTTCCCGCGCCTTCGGATGTCCTTCGGACATCTTCGGACTTTCCTCGGACACCAATTTGAAATTAAGGGCACATACTCAGGTAAGGGGCGCAGCGCACGAGCTGAAGCCAAGCCCCTCAGAATCAGTCCTACCCTTTGTGCATGGTCTTAACATGGACCCACAAAATGAGATGAGGATGAGGATGAGATAATGGTATGTACTGCAATGCACGAGAAATGACAAAAACTAGTACCAAATTAGCATGCCTGTCATCAACAAATACTAGACCCAGTCACTTGTCAAACATTGTTTGGGAAACGGTAACCGACCCTCCTAACATGAGCTGGAGGTTAGCGGGCTTCATGGAATAGCGAGAATCCCAGGGATTGATCTGCTCCGGTGCAAAAGGGTCGTCAACGTGTGATTGACTGCGACACAAGACATCCGCCTCGCTGACTGACACGAATTCGGGTGGGGACGATAATGCACTCTTCGACTTTAGGAATTGAATGGCAGTACCAGCTGGCACTCCGAGTGGACTGCTACGAAACGACGCTGTTTCTGGCAACAACAGCACAGGTTAAATTTTAAACAAGTAGCACGAATGGAAAACTCACTGAGGCTATTGGACTGAGCAAGTTGAGTCAATGGAAATGGCTGAGAGCCTGTCGATGGCCCAGATTCCATCAAAAACAAGGGAATGGCAGCTTGCCCACTCCTTGTCTGAACCATCATGCGAGTCTGATGATGAATCTTCTGCCTCCTCAGCGTCTGAGTCTTGGGGCAGTGTCGACTCAAATGCTAGTGAAAAGGTCAGTGCATGCTTTCGAACTGACACTTATATTGACGTATCGAGAGCGTCTTTGACGAAGGCTAGAAATGCAGCCTGCACCACATCAAAATTGGCATAAGTCTGATCAAACTGTGCCCCACTCTCAAGTTCGCCAACGTGATAGCTTCATAATATTAGGTAAGCGCACTTCCTCATCAACTTGATCACGCATCACTCACTTGAACACAGACACCTCATGGCGCTTATTCAGCTTTGGCCCGTGGTCAGTAACATTCTGTACTCTGATTTCGGCGTCTGCAGTGTCCTTGACTTTTTCTCCATAGTATTCATAGGAGTAAATGTCTATTTTTTGCGGTGCCCGGGTCCCCTTAAGTTCTACACCACCAGCTAACACAGTGTCGAACTTCAAAGCTCCTTTAACACCACTCGTGTGGCCCAGGCGAGCAGGGTTTTTCCGCCAACGGTACCATGTAGTTAGTTGCTAATCAAAATGAGTTGGTACGTGTGTTTCGCATGCTCACAGATGGTAGTGCTTACCTGTTCACGACTTTCCACAGTGTTTGCCAGATCTTGCACTGAGTGTCAAGACCCAACTGGTTGCAACGAGGACTGGCACACAATTTGGTGGAATGGTATGGGCCGGTTTCTTCTTGATGGTAGGAATCCACAGCCGTACGACGACGCTGTCAAACACTTCAAGGAACTGCAGTTTGGACGTGTCAGTGAAGGATGCAAAGACCTCATGTTCAAGATTCTCGATCAGGGAGCAGCATTCAAGCACACCGAACAATTTCTTTCTGAGACTTGCAGCTTCCTAGTAGAGAAACTGGTTTTCGAGCCTGAGCCTCCTTCGCCATAGTCTTACTAGTACTCATGTTAGTTTTACTCATGTTCAACCACAAGGACTTCATCCATCGTACGACGTAGACTCGTCGTGGTTCAATTGTATAGAGTGATGTTTGTACCAGTACAAATACTATACTGCAGTGGTCCGAGTCTCAAATTGCTTGAAGGAAAGTAGAGATCATAATTATCATGGCGGAAACTTCAAGTTGAGTTTTGAGTCCAATCAAAACGCGCCAGCTCTGGATTGGCAAAAACGTGCAGTGCGGGAATGCGGAACCTCTTGATTAAAACGCGCCCACTCTGGATTGACGAAAACGCGCAGCGCGCAAGCCGTGGAACGCGCAAATAATAAATGTGCAGATATAGCGCCATAGCGTACAGGCTCTATAGTGCTGTATTCACCTCTCACCAAATTTACAGTGCTTGTCCTCTGCGTTCATACTACTAGTATGCATCTTGCCAGTCAGTCCTATATTGTTGCATTACCTCTAATTCGTTCATCTATGTTGGTTTTCAGATGCAGTGTCAAATGTTGTCTCACTGTGTCAAGCTTCGACCTCACCCTGCCAAGTTTGATCCACTTGTTGGACGATACGGGTCGGACGAATTGAGTATTGGATGGTACGAGTTGGGCGTTGGACGATACAAGTCGGACACACACGCATGGTACCAGTCCCGGAGGATTAGCCTCCAGGACCATTTTTGTCTTCTTTTCCTTTTCCGATCCTTATCGTATCTTGTCAGCTTCAGCACCATATGTTTCTCGGCAGCTTCTCTCCGTCTTGAACCTTCTATTGCTTACCTTTAAATATCTTGCTCGTACGCAGCGATACCTCAGCGTTGTCTTACACGTCCGCTGAGGTACGTATACCACTACTCTTTTGTATCCAGCTTTGCTAACGTACGACCTAGACCTTGGTCTAGGTAAATTCAATTCAGCGTTGTCTTACACGTCCGCTGAGACCTTGGTCTAGTTCCAACAGGTTATGAGCCCTGGGTTTTGATATAACCCCATACCAGGAAACAGTCCCCCCTCCTCACGAAACGAACCAGTGAAACGCTCCCCAATCCAATCATTCTCTTCGTGTCCCAACTTCCTCATTACTATGGGAAAGTACGACCACATCATCGAGCTTACCGGCGCAGATGAATACCCAGCTTGGCGTCGAGCAGTCACTCTGGCTCTCCAGGCAGACGGGCTATGGAACCACTGCAGTTCCGGCACCGATCCTAACAACTACGCCGAATTCGCCGTGGTCATGCCTTCACCTGCTGTCCCTGGGTCTCCCACTGCCGCCGAGAAATTAACCATAATCGAATGGATCAAAAACGATGCACAAGCCAAAGGTATCATTTGCAGGAAGTTGTCAGCGGTCGTCCAAGGTCTCTTGAGCGAGGACTGGACGGCCAGGGCGCAATGGACCACTCTCGCTACGCATTACGCACGTCTCGACGTAACATCTCAGTTTGAACTCCGTGCTCAGCTATTCGCGGAAAAACTCAAAGACGTCGACGACACGTCTCGTTACATCAGTACATTCGAGAACGCAAGACGTCGCTTTGCTGAGATGGGAGTCATAGTCACAGAAGATGAGATGGTATTCCTATTGCTGCACGGTCTCCCTCCCACTCCCGAGTGGATTATATTTAAACGCATGACAATGAACCTTTATAGCTCATCATCCGTCCCCACTGCATCTTCTTCTTCCACCACGACCACAGTCACCAAGATGACCTTCGCGGCAATCGTCTCTTCACTCTCCGAGGAGGCCAATCGCCTCCGAGGAGAGCAGAAGCTCGCCGGACCAGGATCAGAGTATGCTAACGCTATGTCGTTCTCTCGACCTCCTGATGGGAAGGCAAATTCTAAGACAGGCATCCGAATCCATAAGTCGAATCCCAAGGGCGTCAGCTGCGACAACCCGGCATGTTCTGGGCTGCCACGGTCCTTAACACATGACCGTGAACATTGCTTTCAGCCAGGCGGGGGAATGGAAGGGCAGGGAGGCAACTTTCTCACAAGGGCTCGCGACAAGAGACCGGCAAAGAAACCGGAGGTCGCTGCTGCGACCACCAGTAGCACAGATCCTACATCCACTTCGCCTACTACGTCCTCCTCGAGCACTGATGAGCCTCGCAACCTCAGCTGTGCCGTCATTGAGGAACTTCCTTCTGAGTCTTACCCCAGCTTTGAGGACATGGCCTGCATAGTGCGCAGCTCCCTATCCACCATATTAGACTCAGGAACGACGTCGAACCTCATTGCAGATCGCAGTTTCTTCTGGACTTATACGGAGAGTTCACGCGTGACGGTCAAAACCGCCAACCACGGCAGTTTGCCCACTTCGGGACGCGGCGATTGCGTTGCAGAAATGTCACTGGGTGGGAAGACCTTCCGCATCACATTCACTGATTGTCTTCATGCTCCCGGGGCGATGATCAACTTGCTCTCCATCGGTCACATGCTCAAGAAGAAGTGGTCTTGTAACTTCGAACATTCGCCGGCTCGGTGTCAACTTAAGTATCACGGCGAAGTTCTGGGAGAAGTTCCAATGATAGGGAACCTATTCTTCATTGATCTTAAATTCATTCGTCCCAATAGTCCCGCACCTTCACCTCATCACGCACCTCGTGAGATCTCAGCATTCGCTCGTGTTCCCTTGTCGCTCGACTTATGGCACGCCCGTTTGGGTCACCCAGGGGGTGACATGATCAAACACCTCTCTCGTGCGGCCACCGGCATTACCATAGAGTCCACGGTTCCCCTTCAGCAATGTGAATCGTGTGTCATCGCCAAACACCCACGAAAGCCATTTCCTTCTTCTGACAGCCCTCGCACAGCTCATATGCTCGACCTTATTCATTCCGATCTTTGCGGTCCCTTTCCTGTCACGACGCCCCATGGTAAACTCCATTTCATCATATTTCTAGATGATCACACCAATTTGCTTAACCTGCAACTCCTCGCTACGAAGGACCAAGCTTTGGATGCCTGGGAGATTATCAGGAAACGCTGGGAGAATCACTCTGGGCGAGCGGTTAAGGCCTTTCGGTCTGACAATGGGGGGGAATTTGTGAGTAGTGCATTCTCTAAGGCTCTTCAGGATGCCGGGATAGAGCGTCAACTCTCCGTGCCATACGCACATCAACAAAATGGAAAAGCTGAGCGTGCGATTCGGACTATAGGAGGGCGTCTTTTCGCGATGTTAGAGGCCGCCAAGTTGCCTGCCAATCTCTGGGGCGAAGCCGCATTAACAGTCTGTTACCTATGGAACAGGAGTACCTCACGCGCTCTCCCACTCAATGTCACACCCTTCGAGCTGGTAAATGGCAGGAAGCCCGACCTTTCACATATCCGGGTATTCGGGTCTCGTTGCTTCGCTAGAATACCTGCTGAACTCCAGGTCAAACTCGGCCCGCACTCCCGACCGGCTATCTTCCTCGGGTACCCTGAGGGTACCAAAGGTTATCGCCTGCGTGATCAGGTCACCGGCGCCTTCTTTGTCGCACGCGACGTCATTTTTGATGAACACCTGCCTTCTGCGCCCCGTTCGGACGACGATTCAGACTCAGATGATGCGCTACCTCTCACTCCTTCTTCCGTTCCTCACGCTGTCCCTTCTCCTCCACAAGTCACCACAGCTCCCAAATCTCCTCTCATCGTCTCTACCATTCGACGCTCTACTCGGACTAAAGTATCTACTGCAGGCGGCCAGGCCTGGGAGGCTGAAATGAACGCCACCAAGAAACGCCTTCAAACTCTACGAGAATCTCGCGCCGCCCGCGCTCAAGTGCCTGTTCCGTCGAGCGAGGGGGTGGTTGCTGAAGGAGAAGAAGCAGATGAGAAGGTGAACTTGGAGGAAATTGAGCCGAACATAGACGTCCCTGAGGCATTTGCTAACGTGATGATCGAGGAGCACGCACACATCTCCATCCGAAGTGACCGAAGAAGAAATCCCAACGACTGCAACTACGACATGTCAATCCCTCCCGCGACGTACGAAGAAGCCATGCTGCGCCCTGACCATAATGAATGGCTTACCGCCATGAAAAAGGAGCTACAAATAATGGAGGAGATGCACGTCTACAAGATCGCGACCATCCCAGAAGGTCGCAAGGCAATCGGCAACCGTTGGGTCTTAGAGTTTAAAGAGGACAATAAGGGCGGGTCTATTTACAAGGCGCGTCTTGTCGCCCAAGGATTCTCTCAAATTCCAGGCATAGACTACGGCGCAACCTTTGCACCAGTACTAAAGACAGCATCCTTACGACTCATTGCAGCTCTGGCGTGCAAGCATGACTGGGAACTTCACTCCTTCGACGCCACACGCGCTTTCCTCTGGGGAGTACTTAAAGAGGAGATCTACATGCGTCAACCCAAGGGGTTCGAACATGGAGATTGGAGGGTACAGGTCTGGCGGATGCTTCGCACAATCTACGGATTGAAGCAGTCCGCCATGGAATGGTACTGAGCAGGTGAGGGAGGTGATGGATGAGTTGGGTTTCACTCGGTGTCCCGTCGACTACGCAGTGTTCCTTTTTGACAGCAGCACCTCCGGCACCCGTATACTCTGCATTATTGGGTTCCACGTCGACGACGGGATGGGAACGTCTAATTCGCCGGCTTTCTTAACCTGGGTCAAACAGAAGATCCATCAGCGTTTCGGCATCAAAGACATGGGACCAGTCACCAAGTTCATTGGTATCCAATTCGAACGAAACCGTAACACGCGCCAGCTGTGGATGCATCAAAGCGAGTACATCACCTACCTACTGGAAGAATACGACCTCCTTGAATGTAACCCAGTCCGTCTCCCTCTTGACCCACATCATCCATTCGGCAGACCAGACGCCGTCCATGACACAATCCCCAATCTCCCCACCCTCTTTCGCAAGCTCGTCGGTGAACTATTGTATCTCGCCATTTGTACCCGTCCAGATATCTCATACGCCGTCAACTCCCTTGCACAACACAACTCAAGCCCTCTCCCAGCACATTATGCAGCTGCGAAACGACTACTTCGCTATCTATCTGGTACTATCAACCTTCGCCTACAGTATGGGGGTGCCGGCGCAAACGATGAACTGCACGCGTACTGTGACGCCGATTGGGCTAGCTCACCCTCTGACCGGTTGTCAATCTCAGGCTACGTATGGTACTATGGCGGGGGCATCATAGCCCACGTCTCAAAGAAACAGACGACTCATGCTCTCTCATCCACAGAGGCCGAATATATGGCGGTCACGCACGTCATACAAGAAGGCCTCTGGATCAAGTCGCTCATCATCTCGCTTCACGTACATCTTCCTTTCCCCATCGTCATCTTCATGGACAATACTGGCGCCATCTCATTATCAACTGAAGCACGCAATCACATCCGTTCCAAGCACATTGACGTGCGATACCATTTCATCCGGGAACATATTGAGAAAGGAACATTCCTACTCAAATGGGTCGCCTCTCACAGGAACACCGCGGATATCTTCACGAAAGCTCTCCCTCGACCTCTCTTCGAAAAACATCTGCCCGGCCTTCATCTGGTGTCTCGCTGAGGGGGTGTGTTGGACGATACGGGTCGGACGAATTGAGTATTGGATGGTACGAGTTGGGCGTTGGACGATACAAGTCGGACACACACGCATGGTACCAGTCCCGGAGGATTAGCCTCCGGGACCATTTTTGTCTTCTTTTCCTTTTCCGATCCTTATCGTATCTTGTCAGCTTCAGCACCATATGTTTCTCGGCAGCTTCTCTCCGTCTTGAACCTTCTATTGCTTACCTTTAAATATCTTGCTCGTACGCAGCGATACCTCAGCGTTGTCTTACACGTCCGCTGAGGTACGTATACCACTACTCTTTTGTATCCAGCTTTGCTAACGTACGACCTAGACCTTGGTCTAGGTAAATTCAATTCAGCGTTGTCTTACACGTCCGCTGAGACCTTGGTCTAGTTCCAACACCACTCTCTATACCCTACACCAACACGTCGAGCCCCAACCATGGCATGTCAGAAGCCTCGTTTAGGCTGCGTCAAGCACTACTCACACCACGACAAGTTCTCCCAAATATCCTCGCAGTCTCTGTACTAATATCAACATCCACACTCTATGCCGCGTCGAGACCTACTACAGTGCCGCGTCAACCATAGCACATACCGCGTCAGTGCCGCGTCACATGCGCGTCAGTGCCGCGTCAAACAAGTTGTGCCGCGTCAGTTGCCGCGTCAAACCTCCTCCATGCCGCGTCAGTGCCGCGTCAAACCTCGTCACTGCCGCGTCACCCGCGCGTCACGCCGCGTCAAACTTCATTCATGCCGCGTCACAAGTAGCACATGCCGCGTCAAACCTCACCACCTCAACTGTCACACTGTCCGTATAACTTAGGTACATTTTACTTTACATCTGTCATAATAATTGATATTCTAACAGTGTTCCTTTTCATCCTGACAGAATTAGACGTCGTACACTGTAATTGTCCATAGGCAGTAATAAATTTATTTTACTAAGCATTCTTTCGTTGTCTCCTCTGGGCTCGAGAAACAACCGTTATTATCGCGCTTTTGTAAATCGTATCATGGCCTTTGTGAGTTCTTTAAAATACGGAGTAAACTTGTTATAACCATCTTTTAGCAATTAATCAAACATATATTCAACTTTTTCTATCCCAACGAGACAGAGAATCAAAATTATCCAGATCGGCCGGGTCCGCTGCTGAGTTTTTGGGACCTCATACCCTGCTATGACCGTTCAGGTGCGTCATCCGACATTCTCCTTGTGAACTCAGATTTGACAAATAGAACTGCCTTTGGTGCATGCTTTCACTCTCGTGGTTGCTCACCGAAAGGCCAGTGATTTTGAAAAACGCATCGAAGCTCGAAACGAAGAATGGAACGATAGCATGCTGTTGAAGATGGCTTGGGCTGATCTCATGATAAGCTATCCTACCAATAGCTTCGTGGCTGATGTCGACCTCGAGTGTCTGACCGCACTAGAAGGAAGGATGTTCGAGGATTCCGAAGAAGCAGGACCTGCAGGCAACCAGCAGTGGGGTTTGGATGCTGGCCAACATCACAGGCGATGTAAATTGTATCTCGGAATTCCTGATGAATGGGTTTCTGCAAGAGATTATAGCGAGAGTGAACTTGAAGTGAGGAAGACATTACCTGCTCCGTTCGATAGATATCTAACTTATGTGATTGACAGCGCGGCCCCTTATTCAGTGATAACTCTGATGCTACATCTTTGGAGTCTGCAGACGAGCTATCCGAAGCTGTAGTTCCTTGTCTGCCGGCAGAAGAATGTCCGCCCGTTAAACGTCGATGTGCTCCACAGGCTCGAAGGGTCCAGAGAGGGAGGAAAAGAAAATAGTTATTGGCTTATGTATACCTAGTTGTACATGGCTCTGAGGCAAATAAAATAACAAAAGAGTGGTCGTGAACTCATCCAACTTGATCTGGAAGTTGAATATAGAATATAGGAATGGCGCGTCAGTGGTCGCGTCAAGGATCGTTAGTGCCGCGTCAAGGCTCGTCAGTGCCGCGTCACATGCGCGTCACGCCGCGTCACGGCCGCGTCACGACCGCGGCAGGCGCGGCAGGACCGCGTCAAAATAGCTACGCCCGTGAGAACATGATGAGAGACCACCCCTCTCGTCTCCGCTTTGCTCTGAGCGTATGCACTGCCTCCACGATGAGCTGTGACTGTCTTCGAAGAGAGTCACGCAGTGCACGTCATCAGTGGCTCGCCAATGACTAGTTGACTCCTGAGGCCTAATTCCCATACCGAGTCAGTACCAACCATTGTTGCCTACCTCATCTACACCCTGACTTCCGACAATTCCACTCAGGCCAGCGCATAAGTCTGTCCTTAAAGAACCCAGAGATTACACGAGGATGATGTTTATTCAAGGGATGCGGGAAGTCCATGAGACGCGAAGACGTGAGGCAGCCCAACGTCTTGAGATGGCACAAGAATGGCGACGAAGCAGAGTCAAGGTGAGTAATTAATCAGCTGTAAGCATATTTCAGATTTCATTCTTTCCCGAGTACAGATGTTTTATCGCCGTCTTGTCGACAAAGGTCTGATCGACGAAGATGGTGCGAAGAACTTACCAGATGACACTCTGGATTGTCCTATCTGCCCGTCGAAGCAGACATCATGCAATATGTGCAGATTCATTTCCTGCTCCAATATTAATTGTCAAGCCTCCTCTACTATCCCCATCGTATGGTGTTTCAATCATCACGAGACGAAATTCTGTACTTCATGTTTGGAGCGTCCGAGCATTCTACCTCGCATGGGCAAGTGTCCTATATGCGCACACTGGTTCTGTTCAGCTGAGCTTGAGTGGTGCATCGGGCGCCCAGTTTCTAATGGCGACACACGTGGAACCGGACCTTCCTCGCCAATTACCAGACCTCCCTCACCAATCACCGATTTAACCCGCTCACACCCAGCGCGCCCCTTATTTTGCCGGGCTAGGCACTGTATAGAGGAAAGTATAGCGACCGGAAAACATGGCGCTCGTTGCAATCAAGATTGCTGGTTTAGCTGGCAGCTCCCTGGCATCAGAACTTGCCCTGATTGTATCACACAAGATGATTTCACGTGTCCATGTGGTAGATACTGGGCTTGCGCTGACTGCACGTTGTTTGCTGAAACATGCGCCCCTGATTTAATCTCTGCGTGCCCTGGATGTGGCCGGCGTTTCTGCCCTGGGTGCTCATATATCGAAACTTGCGAGTGGTGCTCATGTGAGGGGCTCTGCGACGACTGTAAGGAGCATGAAGAAAATATAGGAGTGAAGCAGACCGTTTTCAGGTGCCAGGGCTGTGGATTTTATCTGTGCGGGGAATGCGTTGGTATTGATGAGAAATCGAGTTGCGAATACGACAGAAGTGTTTGCAATCTCTGTCGACACGACGATACGAAAACATTGACGAGCGTGCTTTCGGATCTCACCTTTTATCTTTGGATGGCGCTTTGACGCCATCGTGAGGGACTCATATTAGATAATTTGAATTCTATCCTAATGCAGAGTTTACAAGAGCGTAGGTACGATGGACTAAGACAACGGGTGAGAGCGCGAAGCGCTATCCGGCCCCGAATGAGGATCTGCCCAACAAGAGGTGAGCTGCGAATCCCCCGAGAAATCAGGAGTCCCCGACGACGCATTGCAGCGAAGCCGAAGATCCCCAGTTTAGATGGAACGGTAGCTATGTGCGTCATGAGGGAGCTCTAATTTACAGACCAAATAAAATATAATCATGCAGGGCGAGAGATAGCAAGAATCCGAAAGTTGGATGAGAGTTCTGTGATTTTGGGAAGACCTTTTGAAGTTAACCGGCAAGTATGCGGAGAAGGGTTTATCAGTAAGCGCATCAAACTGTTTGATATGTCTCCGGTGGCAGCATTTGAGATTCAAACGTCTTTGTCACTCACGCTGAAGTCATGAGACCATCTAAAGTGAATGTGGCTCATTATGCCCGCTTCATATCTTCAACATACTTGCAATATCCTATACAATGATGTGTTCGTCAGTTCCCGTTGATAATTTTGGGAGAACAATACCGAGTATACCTCACAGCCCACTTGTAGAGATCCGAGGACTAATTCGCCCGTCGTCCGAACTTACAAATATTGTCTGGTATGAATACGATGCTCCAGACATGCCCTCGTGTCCATGGAATGCAATCGGTACTCTTTGCCTTTTTGCCACTTCCCAGACCAACGTCCATTGGGGGATGCTGCAACTGTCCAGACTGTGCCATGGTGGCCCAACCTAAACAAGGCTCCCCCACGTTGTCCTGTGTCCAAATCCCACATCCAAATATTCTCATAACCAGAACCAGCGACGAGGAGACAGGAATCGGGATGAGAGCTACGCTGTCCATCTAGTCTTCGCGGTAATTAAGCGTCACTTCTCGTCTTCGCGGGTGGTGGTTTCCACCGCCATTATTCTGTATCTTGTTCAGCAGGAGCGAGAAACGGGAGGCACACACTTGCATGCTCTGTGGTTGCTGGTCTCTCTACACGTGGCTGCTGAACCCTACATTTCTGCCTTGCTGTAAACACTTGGTTGCTTGAAACTTTCTTGCTCATGGCCTCCGTCCATGATTTAGTATCCCCCAAACCTGCTGCTGTCAACGGAGGATAAGTTGGCATTGCAGTGAGTTACAGTCTCACTAAACTCACCTGTGATGCAGCGTCACTGCGCGATTGCTTCCTGTCAAATGCTGAAAATAAGTACAGCACCGAGTCCTGTAGGTATACCTTGTACATTTCACAGTAGGCAATACCAGGCACCATGACCACTTGCGCTGTGCTTCGGGGTGTCATATTAGCTTACTTGATTTCTCAGATGACAATAAAGCCATACCTGGGACGCCTCCCGCACCGCTGGGAACACCATTATGGCTTGTGTTATCTTTGTCACAACGTCATAAAGCTCAGGCTGTAACCCAGATCCCCCGGAGATCGTACCCCGAATCCTGAACATCGCCGTTTTTTTATTGGTCGTGTGCACCTTGGGGTACATATGCCGCTCAGCAGTTCACAAGCCCATTCCTCTTTGGTATCGTGCGAACAGCCGCGGCTCGTGCGCGCATGGCCTCCAGCACTGCGAAATTCTGCATTTAAACATCTCATGAGAGAAGATCTGGTTTCACTTTCGCTGGTGCTTTGAAGCGCGAGAGGAAAGCCGACCGCGGCGACCGGTCAATTCTCGGAATTGCCATGCGAATGATGGGTTTGAATATGACGTTTCAAGAGATTTTATTGGCTTGGATGTGTAGAAATGACGATCAGGGCAGAGCACTGCGAATATGAAGTTGCCGGTGTTTCAGACAGAATGTTCTGGAGGAGTCATGATCACAACAAAACTTTAACTTTCAAATTCTTACAGTCGTCGCTACTATATTGGTCTGTTCATCTTTGAACACAACAGCCTCTGATCTCTTTTTTTATTATAACCAAAAATCCGAGCAAGATGGTCATGCCAAGTTCTACCGCGAACTGGCACTGGAAAAATAAAAACGTCACTTCATGGGCAAAGGAATGGTTCGAACGAGAGCTGACAGCTATCGTGATCGAAGGAACAGAGGGAAACGTCACGATTTCTTCTGTGAGGATTGAAGATGGTGATGTCGAGCTCGGTCAGCGCAAGTCAAAGTATGCATCCTGTTCTCTGCGTTTTGCGCATTCATGAAGAGATCATTTCAGGTTGATCACGATATACGACATTCAAATGAAGGTAGATTGGCGAGGGGCCACGAGTGATGGGACAGATGTAGCTGGAAAACTCAGTATCCCAGAAGTCTCGCATGAAATCACGCTGGATAAGCTGTCGGACTATGTTGTATGTTTCCCAATACCCGACGCAAAAATCATGAAGTTGAAGTGTTTTGATCATAGTACAACTGGACGCTCGACACTGCTTCTAGTCCTGAAGTCAATGCGCTCTTCGCTTTCGTCAAGACACGTCTCCCACCTGCTCTCGAGGCCAAGTTTGCCGAGTTCCCTGTAGCGCTCATCGATACCCATGGAAAGGACCTTACCGTCAGCGGCCAATCTAGCCTCCCGGGTACACCACCTCCATCTACCGAGGCAATTACTGCGACGGCCGCATCAGCCTCTACGACAGTTCCAAAACCCGCTCCCGTCAAACAGTCTCAAACTAACATTAACACGTCCAGTGTGGTTAAGGAGGCGACGTTTATGGCCGCTTCAGACGATCTCTTCGGGCTCTTTACAGACGAAAGGAGAATTCCTTCGTGGACCCGTGCACCGGCTCAGGTAATTCGGGAGCACGTCCATAAGGAAATTAGACTGATGGTTGCTTTGGTAGTCTGCAGCGCAAGCAGACACTGAGTACTCGTTGTTTGGTGGTGGTGTCAAGGGAAAGTACGTGTCACTGACGCCAGGCAAGGAGATTGTGCAGACTTGGGCTTTACAAAGTCCTACGTGGCCATCAGGTCGGATATTCTTCCTCCTTCATGTTATCTCAGAAGCGCCTGAATCTTATTGTGCCAGAGCACTTCGCAACACTGACAACGACTTTCGAGCAGTCGTCTGATTCGACGAAAGTGACGTTTACTCTTGATGGTGTGCCGAAAGGCATGGAAGACGAACTCACGAGGAATTTAGAGGGATACTAGTACGTGCGCGTCTTTGGGAGTGCTTTCATGCACTGACTTTTTTTGCAGCATACACGGCCTCAAATCTATCGGGTACGTACAGCTCATATCCTACACCAGACCTTCATCATCATCCACCCGTTCTCTTACTGGCACTCCTTCCAAACCTAAACCTACGAGTTCTGCTTCATCAGCTGCGACGGCTCTAGGGATAGCCGTGGTGGTCCTTGTCGCGGCGTTCACCCTACCTTACCTCTCAGTATCTCCGATCACCTTGCGTTCTTCTGCGAAATAACGTTATTTGTATACTGATAATGCTATGCTTTTGTGCTTTTGGTTTTGATACAGGTTGGGCACAGTTCTCTGAACGAGTCGCTTCGCGCGGTGAAAGGAAGGGAAATGTCACTGAATGTACCGTAGGTCA